CTGATGGTTAATTAATTATTAAAAAATATTTTAACAAATCAAACCTATTAATATCTTATAATTTATCAAAATAGAATAATAATAAAATAATTTTATTTATGTCGTGAGGATAAGAAAGAGATGTGTAATTTATTTAGATTATATCCTGTTAATTACTCATTAAGCTATACGTTTTTGGGTTCCTGGTTTTCGACTGTGCTTATTAAATTGTCTGGTCTCATTAGGCGTCAAGTCTAACACTTTTTCTTAAATCACATGTATATTAGGATCTCCAGGTGGTGGGGCTCTCAAGGTTTAAGTGGAATGATGGTTGTCGTTAGGGACATTTCTTTGCGAGATACTACTTTTAAAGATAGTTAGAGGCTGTTTACCAAACGTTTACCCGGATAAATGCTTACCAAGTCAAACTACCTCACCAATGAATATGGTAAGAACCAAAAAATTTACCCGGTAAGAGCAAAACAAGGACCAAGAGTCTTACCCGGTAAGTGAAGACAACGACTCTTACCATAGCACACAGTAAACGCTTACGGGGTAAATTATTGCGTACAATGTCGTTTTGGTGGACCAAAATCTTACGCGGTAAGTAAATAATATTGTTAAATTTTACCAATAAGCACTTATCGGGTAAGTTTTTGGTAAACAGCCCCTTAGCGTCATATAGCGAATAGTATTCTTTTGGATATCGTAGAGGCATCCAATGTTAATTTTTATCTAGTATTGATTTAGATTGTTAGGTTGTTATCCGTCATCCATGATTTATAACGTAAACGTTTTACATTTCCGCGTTTTAGGTGATCTTTATTATTTAAGTGATTATTTCATATTTATTTTCCGTCTTAAATTTACTGTCATTAATTAATTAATAATTACATATTTAATATGTTTTAAGATAATATAACAATGATCGATCTTTAAGTATTTTATAATTATTTATTTATTAACCGGCAATAATCAAACCAAAAAAGAAAAAAAGCAAATCTTTTAGAAAATAAAAAAATGGAAAATATGATTTTGTGTATTATTAATCGGAATCAATTATTTGCGCATGCTTTTTAACGACTCCATTGATATATTATAATCCAAAGATCTAATCATATCATATATTTATATATACCACGTTTTTTTAATATATATATAAATCAAATTTTCAAGTATGAGTTTATTATTTAAATAGTAAATTACAATTTTGGTCCCTATGATTTACCTCCAACTACAAACATAGTCCTTGAATTTTTATTAAGTATGAAAATCCTCACCCTGGTTTGTGTTTTCCTGGTTTGTGTTTTCCTATAAATATAGCCATTCTAGTCAGGGGTGGATGCAATGGTAAAAAGGGGTGAGGAAGGGATCTCAGTCAAAAACTCAAAAACAAAAATTTATAGGTTTTACATGATTTACTTTTCATTTCCCCCGTTACATTTTTCTACAAGCACCCAACCCTAGTCGAAACCGTTACTCTAACAAAAAAAATCTGTAGAAATCAATTAAAAAAACAAAAAAAGTTATTAGAAATCGACAAAAACACTAAAAAATCCCTCGAAATCAACCCAAAAAATTTAAAATTCCCTTGAAAACGTTGTAATTAGGGTAAAGACATATCGGACAATTTTGCGGGTCTTTAGGCTACCTTAAAGGTGACCCCACTGAACAAAAATTCTGGATCTGCCATTGATTCTAGTTAACTTCGTTAAAATATGTTGATTAAAACTTAAATGAAGGCCATTTTTATTCTTTTATTCAATTTTTTGTTTTTTAACCCCAAATTATTATATATAATATTACATAATCATACACACACATGCAAGATGAGGACCATCTCTGCTCATATACAAAACCTCAATCTAAAGAGATCTGAATTCTTGATCACTTTTAATCTCATGCCCATCCAAGAATTACACTTTAGAATGAAATTGATCCGCTACATCTCGGTGCACCTTACTAGCGTTGACATCTAATTATGATTGATCTAATGGTGGAGATCTTTTTTTACGCTTCTTATCATAACTTCATTTCTCACCGGAACCCAACTCTTACTATAAAACATTATATATACATATATTAAATAATATAACATTATAATATTTTATCTTTTATTACGAAAAAGATAAAATGAAACAGGTAAAAGGACAAAATTATCCCTCATTAAATAAAACTTCAAGTAACAATGTTAGTGTCAGGGACCGCTTTCGAAACAAAATGCAAACCACGGTGATCATTACCGTAATTAGTGAAGTCTAGGGACGTTATTTACTTGTTTATAGTTGGGTTTAAACCCAATATATATAGAGAGAGGTTGGTTATTATACAACCCATGATATTTGTGCAACCAATACAATCCAATCTCAACCGTCTATTTCATTTGATTAATATATGATTTTATAGAAGTTTTGATTGTTTTCTAATATAAAGTATTGATCATAATTAATGAACCATATTCATCTTCCATAAATATTTAAATAATAATAAATGAACTCTCATCATTTTCATAAATATATCAATTTATTGAGTTGCATTGGTTGTATAAATGCAACAGGTTGTATTTGAAACAATCTATATCTATACTATATTATAAAGCATTTGGCTAAAACTCTTAAAAACTCTTAAACTCTTAAAACTCTTAAATCCGTTCATCCCTAAACAATTTCATC